GTACCATTTTAGGGGTCAAAAAAATTTTCCGGACAACCAATATTTTTCGGAACATAACACAAATTTTCCAAAAATCACAAAATTTGCCAAAAAATTTACTTAATTTTAGGACATCCATTTTTTGGTCCCCTGGAATTTCCACATATTTTAAGCGAATTTGTAGCCTCCCCTGTGGAATTTCCGCAGATTTTTATTGAATTTTAGCCATGCCCATGGAATTTCCGCAATTTTTTAAGAACTTTTAACCCATCCCATGGAAATTCCTTGACTGTTTTTTATCTAGCCAGTGGAAATTCCGTATTGATTCTTTGATAAGTATCCCTTGGAAAATTCCTTGCTGATTTTTATCCTATCCTTTGGAATTTTTTTTCCATTGTTGACCCTCCCATGGAAATTCCATACGTTTTACTCATTTTTCTTACCTACCCTTTGGAATTTCCGCAGATTTGCTTTAAAATGTGGACCCTCCCATGGAAATTCTTCATTTTTGGTTCACTTTTGCAGGGGGCCATTGGAAATTCCACATGTCCTCAATAGGGGGGGGGGGAGGGTTGCGGATTAATAATGCGATCAGTCAATTTGACGGAGGGGTGTAATCATTTGGCACATTTTTAAAGATCTGATCAACCATTTGACTTGGCGGTGCTTGCGTTGGAATAGGTACAGAGCTGTTGTCTAGTTTTCTTTTTCGCAACCGACTACAAGATGTCTCGAAAAGTTCACACGGCTTATAGTTATTTGAGGCCACAGCTTCATGAAATCACGGTTGACTTTCTCAAATACATTTGCCATAGTTTTAATTTCTTCTGCAGTCACAATCCGAGCAAATGGTGGAGTAGCACAATAGTCTTCCCTACTCCCTTTTACAAAATACCTTTTGGTGGGTTTGTTTACAACAGCTTTTTCAAATAGCATTTCTTCAAATTTAGCAGCTTTGTCTAGGGTCTTTGAGCTTCCAGAGGGCACACTCCATCTTTGGGGAAGTTGTGTGCATGTAAGTTCCATAGGAATGTGTTTCAAATTCAGATTGACAAAGTCCAAAATAATGTACAATAGAGCAGCTACGTGTTTGCAGCAACCTCCTTGACCAGCCTTACAAGAACACTTAGCATATTCCACCTCACCGTCAACTTGGTTTAAATGAACATAAACAGGATAGCTGCCGCTCTTCATGGATGCACCAACCCGCGCTTTCACTAAGAACAACAGCTTTGAGGCTTGCACATTTGGCTTGACAAATGTACTTGTACATAACCTTCTTTCCATAGTCTTCCTTCATATTTCGATAAGCTTTTGGAGCAATTTTATCAGGCATTGTACGGCTATTTTTCACAAGTTTATTCTCCAGCTTTTCATGAGTAAATCCTGGAAGTTTCTCCAAGGATTTTATCCAATCACGGTTGTTAGAATTGAAGATATCTTCACTGACTTCACTGGTTTCCGACACTACCAGTTTTCGAGGGGATGCAGCACCCCCACTTCGCCTCTTAAAATTCGACGAAGAAAGCGGACTACTGCACTGACTTTCAGAGTTATTCAACCGCAGAGGACTCGTGCATGAGTTCTCAAAAGAACTAGAATCCTCGTTGGTTTGAACAGCCTCTAATAGACGGTTAAGAACCTCAAAACATTCTCTTTCGACAGTAGCCATCTTGAAATATTTTCCCGCCCTGTGACCACAAAGACCATAATTCACCGCGCGCTTCAAGTCTTGTGGCGTCATTATGCATAAGGTCTATTGAAAAATAGTGTTGTCGCCATTGTTGGACAATTAGGCATTGTTCACAATGAAATTCTTAATTTGATTGAGCCTAAGGAAATTGAACCGGAAGTTGTAGACCATATGAAAAGCCTAGAGCCTGTTCATAGGATTCTAGCAACAGTAGATTTGAAACTGGAGAAACTAACGCAAAGTCAAAGTCCTATGACTATGAGTAATATGAGCAGTTTTAATAATAGTGTAGTTCAAAACACAAGCCAGTCTGTTCAATGTAGATTGCCTAAGATGCAAATGCCAGAATTTGATGGGGATCCACAAACATGGCAAGGGTTCTGGGATCGATATCAAGTTTCAATCCAATTGATAAATTCAATTATCTTAAGGGATGTCTAAGGGGAGAAGCTCTAGCTGCGATATCCGGTTTGACGGCTTGACGCTAAGTTCAGATAATTACAAGGAGGCTATTCAGCTATTAAAAAATAGATTCGGAAATGAACAGCTATTAATATCTGCCCATATGGAGTCATTACTTAAAATTAGTAAGATTAGATCTCGGGAAAGTACTAGAGAGCTTAGAATGTTATACAATCATGTTGAAAATTGCATTAGGAATTTGAAATCCTTAAAATTGGACACTACTGGGTATGGTTCCCTATTAATCCCTATTCTTAAGGACAGGTTACCAAGATGAAGTCACCATGATAATCTCTAGGAAGTTTGGGGAAAATATTTGGACTTTGGATGGGGGTAATGGAATATTTTAACGATGAACTAAGTGCACAAGAAAATTATTATTCACCACCTAATGAGCCTAATAAGCACAGGAAAGCAGGACACTATACCACAAGCGGCTTATTTAGTCAAGCAAGTAAAGGTTCATGTGCATATTGTAATAAGGAAGGGCATTTCCAGAGTCACGTAAGGTTATTATTCTTCGTAGAAATAACAGGTGTTTTATTTGTCTTGACAAGGGTCACATAGCTAGAAATTGTACATCTTCCTATGTTTGTCGGAGATGTAAGGGTGGTAAACACCATATCTCTATGTGCACTTCTACTTCACATAGACCTCCTGCAGATGCCCAAGATAATACTGATAAGGAAAATAAAAGAGAGGACTTTGTAGGCCACACTGGTTGTGATACGAATGGGATATTATTGCAAACAGCCAGAGCAGATATACGTCCCATGGACGAGTCTCAGCAAGTTAGTACTAGAATACTATTCGACAGTGGTAGTCAGCGGACATATATATCGGAAAAGGTTCGGAATAGACTTAGGTTGAAGGCATTAAGATCAGAGAAAGTGATCATTAAGACTTTTCGTCAGAGTGAGGTTCAAAGGTTGGATGTAGTTCATTTGAAGATTTAGAGTAAATGTGACAATGCGTTTATGTGTATTAGGCCGTGGGATGAGCATCCAAAAGATGCAATTCCGTTGCACCCCTCGTGGAACTACGTAATTTTCACATGAATAAATAGATAAAAACTTACTTTATCAGAATCCGTTGCTCCCCAAGTGAAACAGGTGCACAATTGGGAGAAAAATCCCTCCAAAGTTTGATATTTTCGCGCTTCGAAATTTTCGAACCGCCATTATTTTGGTAGCAAATACGCATGCGCAACTCAGCCAAACTCGCACTGCGCACGCGCAGACTATAAAAATAGATTCTCACTGGGGGGTTTCCCCGATTTCCTCCGCAAAAACAACAAAATAAAATCACGGAATACTGATCAAACCTTGTAATATAAATACATTAAATATTGTTAAAAACACATTGTATATTTTGCTTGCTCATATGCTAAATCACTTCAATTCATTGGCTATTGTTTCAAAATACCGTTTTAACGTTTAATTCTACTTTATATTAACATCCTAATTCAATACAAATTTGTGTGAGGTAAAAAACCCACCTGTATCAAACAGGACGGAGAATAAAAAATATATATGCATACAATTCACACGATCAAGGAACAAATTAAATATTTCGCTAAACTTAAAGCCTTGGCCAAACGTAAGAAACAATGTCGCGGAAATATTCGTGATTTTTAATTGGCTTTTATTGCAGACGCAAAACTTGCTTCCCAGAAAGCAAATTATTTCCTACCAAATTCAGATTTCAGAAGCATATTATGAAACACTCTTTATCCGTTTGCCGACGCTGATAAGACAATATGACATATCGAAAGATTGGAAAGACAAATAATATGACAACAGTGTTTCCCAGTTCGTCACGGGCTTTAAGGGGATATTTATATAAACTCGAAATTCATCATAAAAAAAGATAAATTGGGAGGAAATATACAATTCATTAACATTTACAAAACATTATAGCTTATCTATAATTGAAAGAAATGTTTTCATCTTTGAACCCAGATTTTCATCAGAGCAATAAAATCCCACTTATTGGATCCTGGCCAAGGGCGAGATGTATTCTGCAATAAGCTGTCCTGGCTTTTGTCTGGTAAAGTTCTACTTCTCCTATTTGAACTATTACATGTATTATATTTATATTGTGACATAAGTTGGTATTTAGCCACTATCTAGAATAACAAGGAACGATTCAGCCTGGTTTTTCGTGTCCATACTAGTTGACTTTTTCTTATAGATTTGCTGCTGTGAGTTTCAGTTCCTCCATCAGGGTGCGTTTTAGGCTTCTCAGACATGACCATACTGTTAACTCTGTCCATGAGAGGGATATATGTGTTGATAATATAAATACTGTGGATCCGAATGAGAATATCGAATAAGTAAATAAATACTGATCTACTCCACTGATAATACCTACATGCATTACCATCATTGTTCACCTCAAATCATTAATAATTCATGAGCAAATTAGCCAACCATATTGCTTATTTTGCTCACATGATAATACTAGATACTTTATGAAGTATATTGATCCTGTAGTGTCCTTGGACTGGATTAAAATTAATTCAGTCCTTGGACTGGATCAAAATTAATTAAGTAGTGATTTATTCGTATTAGATGTCATTTCAAATCCTCCAATTCGGACTGGACTAGATTTCAAGTCCTCACATTTTGATCCAGTCCTCTGATTCGCCTCGGACGTGATCAAATTGTGTGGACTTGAAATCTAGTCCAGTCCTCATAGTCGGATTTGAAATATTATCTCTTGTCAAATCAGATGCCAATGGTGGCCAAGGAAGATTCAGTTTTGGTATTTCTTGCACCTTTTGGTGAAGAATCAAGCATTGTATAGAATTTGTAACTCATTGACTTTAGAATTTCCCTCAGTTTCTGTGTTGGAATTCACATCATCATCATCAATGGTACAGCTCTCTTCATCAAAGTCCTCATCATTGTTTTCAGACTTAGGGCCTGTTTATATGGAAGCCGGGCTGGCCTGTTAAGCAAGTTAGGTAAGCAAGATCTCGCTGTGTAGTTATTTTTATAGTAAAAAATACTAAAAATTATCATGCGTTTATATGGACAAGCGGGCTGGCCCGGTTGCCGAGATCTCATTTGAAAGAGGCTACTCAGGCTAGATCTCGCTTACCGGGATGGAAATTTCTCCATATAAACATTTACAAGCGGGCTATCCCGGTTGCTGGGATGAAAGTTCAAAAATACCGCCGCAAGCTATTTTTAACAACTGTCAAAACAATACAATGTAACAAAATTGTCCTGGCAAGCGGGATGAAAGTTTCTCATATAAACACAAGAGAAATTCATCCCGCTTACCGGGCTGCCTCGCTAAGCGGGCCAGCCCGGCTTCACATAAACAGGCCCTTAATTGACATATGTTCCTCAACCAATTCAGAAGAATCCAAATTTTCCGGTCCACATATACAATCTCACTAACATTTCTCATTTTCGGTACACAGAACACAAGTTGGGGATAACTTTTCATCAGTCGTTGCTTGAGTTTAAAAGCTCTATATCTAGATGCATCCACATTCTCAGTGTCCTTAGCAATGATAACAAATTTCTCCAGCAAATCTTTCATATACTTTATTTGCTTATTTCCGATGACCTCCATCTCAATTACTTTCTTACAGAATACATCATAAGACTTCTCGTAAACTGATACTATAATTGCAGTAGCAAACTTTGTGATAGCGGATTTCCAGAGATACACAGTCTTTCCCCTGGATTTGCACGAGTATCTGTTGATCATTCTTTCTCTCAGCAGCTGTACGTAGAAGACCAGCATCAATTGTTTCTGCCAACATGAGTGGGGTTCTTCTTCTCTTCTTAGTTACCTGGTGTTAAACAAAATAAATTATTTAACTAAATATCTGCTAATTACAAGGTTGGATGTTTGTAGCATAGAAACTACTTTACCCTATATAAACTAAATTGATCACAATTCAATATATTTTAAAACCAAACCTGAGAATGTTGTGCACATTGCGCTAGTATTATACCTATCAAAATACCATACCTTGTCTAGTGAGAACCATGAGGCGTCTCTTCCACAAATATTACATATCTCTGGGAGTACATGCGCGTTTCTTTTAGGCAGGGCCTTTATATTTATAGGTTCTGAGACTGATTGACGTGTATTAATTTTTCGCCTTGGTTCTATTGCCTCCACTTTCACGTGTGATTCTTCGGTAGAAGTTATAGTTTTAGAGCTAGTTCCTTCTCCTTTTTCTTCTTTTCTCTGTTATCTACAGATCTTCTCTTCATCACAAAATCTCTTCCAGCATATTTTCATATGATGGTTCCATTCTATTAAAGTTAATGGTGTCAGGGTTCTTCTCCATGTATGAATTGACAGATCCGTCATCGATGTTCTCGTACGATTTCTTAGCTATTTCAGCTTGTTGACATTTAAGTTTGGCCCATTTTGACCTACACTCAAGAAATTTCTTAAGCCTTTGGCGTGTAACTTCGCAAAGTTGCTCCGTAACGCTCAAAATGCATAAAACATGAGGATATTCGAGTTTTATAAATATCTTCAGCCATGTTTATTTGCATAACTGAGCGTGTTTCCACTTCGAAGCATGTGCGTTGGTTGTGCGCGTGCGCAGTGCGAGTTTAGCTGAGTTGCGCATGCGTATTTGCTATCAAAACAATGGCGGTTCGAATATTTCGAAGCGCGAAAATATCAAACTTTGGAGGGATTTTTCTCCCAATTGTGCACCTGTTTCGCTTGGGGAGCAACGGATTCTGATAAAGTAAGTTTTTATCTATTTACTCATGTGAAAATTACGTAGTTCCACGAGGGGTGCAACGGAATCCGTTTTCTAAGCATCTTTTGGATGCTCATCCCACGGCCTATTGGCTATTTTTTGGCAGGGGTAACGAAATATATCGGCTGTTCTCTAAGTGTTTCTTAATGCGTTGGCCATCGGAATATAATATAACTACATAACTCATAAGCTTGATAGATATGTGACGAGTTTCACAGGCACAATCCTATTTTAAATACTATAGCTTTTGGCAGTTTTGCATCATATGTGCAGTAAAAGCCCCATTTTTCTACTTCCTCAACGTGTAAAACGCGAAAAAACTTTATTAATAAGAACAAAAATTTGTAATAAAAATTTGTAGTAAACAGTGTATTTTATTATAAAGGATTTTCGTTTTTCTACTGCTCCGTAGTTCGTGTGCTCCGTGCTCCGTGTGCTCCGTGCTCAGTGTGCTCCGTGTGCTCCGTGCTCCGTGTGCTCCGTACTCCGTGCTCCGTGTGCTCCGTGCTCCGTGTTTTACTAATAGCCAATCTAGATCAAACGCCAGCAAACTATATGCATTCCTTCAGATATATTGCATACGTCCCCTGGTCCTACTGCAAAGTATTTAATGATTCATAATTTAAACTATTTCAGTTTGACAACTTGGATAAGAGAACTAGAGAAGGAAAGACAGATTATTCCTTAAATGATCGACAACTACACTTCCGCATTATTTTCGTGGATCCAAATCTCTTTCTTCATTCGTAATGAGTTATAGCTATATGAACATATCTGGTATTGAGTGTTGAACTGATTTGAGTTCGGCATACAGTATATATTTTTCTAAATATTCGCAAGCCTAGTATATTTCTTAGAATTTTCATTTCTCTCAGTCTATACTCTCATTAAAACAAACCTTGTCCTTGTGCATCATGTATGTCAACTTGTCAGCATGCCTATATCATAGCTGTTCGAGGCTACAGAAATTTTAATTTATCTAATCTAGTCTACAACAGTTTAATTAAAAAGACGTATAGTCAAAGCTATCGTTTCGTGTTCTTAGTGAGCAATGCAAAATGACAATGTATAGAGTCTATAGACTAAATTGACATGTACAGTTGCTTTATATATTCAGAAAACAGCGTACTATATATGCAGTACTGTTGCATAATACCTTGTTTAATCTTTACTTTACTTGAACTGTCTGTTTATCTCAGCTGGTATTTTGACTTGCTCAAAGCGCTGTCGAACGGAAACTATACGTGGACTATTCTGAAAGTTATTTTTATTATAAATATTTTCTATAGATATGAGAATAAATTGTTTGCTCGACTGGAGATTCCTTTCACCCACTCTTCATGCGATAAAATTGCAGTTGATATGTGAAATATCTGTATCCGGCATATGTTGGTTGTACCATGCATATAAAGTTAACAAACCTCTATATATTAAGTTAGGCCTAGTAGAACATGCATTTTATTTCACCGCATTTTTTAAATCATGCAAGCTCAAAATATTTCCTTAAGAGAAAACCCACGCAGAGCTATTGTATACCGTACAACTTCCTTCATATTGTGTTGTTCATTCATATAGAGATTCAGTCCATAAAGTCTGAAAAAGTCTTCTGTTACTATTAAAGAGTAAAGGACTATAGCAACCTTAATTATTAAAGAGTGATTGGCCCTAATACTGGTAGTAGTCAGGTTGCAATTGCAAAATAGCGGCGGAAGTGCAGGGATAAACGTTGGTTTTACAGAAAGAGTACCAGGCTAATCAACAAAAATTTGATGGGTATATCTTAGATGGAAATTTTCGAGTGGAAGTTTATATAAACAGAAACGAAAAATGCAACTTTAGGTTCCTTGCAGGAACTGAACCTGCCTGCACCCTGCGATTCCAGCGCTCTAACCAACTGAGCTACAGAGTGGCAGAGGCCAGTTGTCTTGCTCTAACCACAAGTTCAGTATGTATATATACTAGAATACTGCCATGTATAGGTTATGGGTAAATAAGATTAAGGGTAAGTAAGATTTTTGTGGCATCATGCCTCCACGGATGCCTCGCATGGCTTGTGGACCACTTTGGGTGCCTCGTATGGCTTGCAAACATAAATGGAATACGAAATTTCTCTGACGAATTTGAATACTGCATGTATAACTAACTATTAATAATTGCAAGATTGTGGGAGAGAACAGACATTCTGTCTGTAGGAATTGAAATGTTTTGCCGCCCTTTTTCTAAACAAATAAAATTAAAAACAAAATATTACTTCAGCTGTTTATTACTTAAGCCTTTTATTATGTAAGTACTGGAGCTATATAGGAAACCTTAGCATGTTTAGCATTCTCGCTAAACTAAATGCATGTCCAGAATAGGAACCATTGTTCATTGGTCCAGTGTTACGAGCTACAGGAGGAAACCTTAACAGCTTAACTAAACCAACTTTACTGATGAACCAAGACTCAAGAGCGCGTTCTTGCCGTATAACTTTGTGCATGCAAGTTGGTGAAAGGAATCAACAATACATAGTTTGAATTATTTCATAATTTTTTTAACTTTTGACGAGACTGCCACCTTTGAAACTAATATTTTACTCGCTTGTAATTCCTTAGATTTATTTCATCAAATGAAACTAAAATCTCTCGAGAACGAAAAAAGATAAGCTAGAAAAGTTGTACAGTAACTTATTTTACAGTTTTACATGCTCTTTCTGCCTAAAATGTTGACTTGAATTTGGTTGCCCATGCAGTAAACTCTTCTGCTTTCATGGCCATGCCCATGGGCAACACTTTGTATAGAAGATATTCAGGTAATTACGCCAAAGCTAAAAATATATTTAATTAATAAAGTACTTTCGAAATATTTCTATTTTCCGTAATTTGGAAATAGTTTTCCCAATAATTAGTGTATTTTGCTTTTTAAAGTTATTTCGATATCTTGATACCATTGTTACAAAACACAATAAGATCCTTGACCCTGTAGGTTGGCATGATAAAAATGAATATAATTGTTTTGATTTGTGACACGTTTATTTCTTTCGGTCTCGGCTTTGGCGAATCTTTGATCGATCCAAGTCCAGTCTTCATTGGTGCTATAATAATTACACTGTCACTGGTGAGGATCCATGCAGGCTTACAAATCGAAAGCTATGAACGTGATGTTTCCCCAAATACCAAACAATTATGTTTCCGGCATGCAATCATGCAAACAAGGATTTCACGGGGAAATTAACTCACTCAGTATGTTCAATTGACTATGTAAACTTATCAAGTATATTAAATGAAGTTAGTCTAGTTTAGTAGTTTTTTTTGTTTTTTAAAATTTATTTTCCCATGTATAAAAATCTACTTAAAATATATTACAATAATTTGAAGATTTTGGGCTAGATACCTACTAGAAATCTTCATAGACTTTTTATTTTAGGTCTCTAATTACTGTTCGTTTTATCACATAATCGATTATTTACAGTCAATCAATACATAATATGTAAAATCAGAAAGTTTTGAAGTATATATACTATATTTACAAGAGAGAAAAAGAAGTGGGAATGTTCGTATTATGATAAATTAATAGTAATGTTGTAGATGCATTTAATTTTACCATGTCAATGACTGGGCTACAATAGACTAAAGTATATGTCATTATATACATTAGAGAAGTATGTTTTATATATTGGTAATTGTGTATAGCAAAAAATGTTGTTTATAATTTTCTTTTTAAAGGTGTTATAGGAGTTTACTTCATTAAGTTTTGTTTCTAACGAATTCCATACATCAACTCCTTTATTTGAGAGAGTGTGTTTTAGATAATTTGTTCTTTTATAACATTTGTGAAGTTTTGTCTCTTTACATTGCATGTAAGTACCTCAACGAAGAACAGTTTAATCACTGAGTACTGAATGGAGGTGGAATTCCAAACCAAGTGATATCACGAATGTTGACAATGAAGAAGTGCATTTTGCAACTGATACTGACAGTGGAGGAGTATAACGTCAAATACAATATCTAAATAAGTACCCTCTATAGTGTGAATAAATTGAGTCCAAGACCAAGGTTCGCTGTTCTTCATATTATTCATCAATGATTTACCACTACATGTAACTTCTCAAATTGATCTTTACGCAGATGACACTACTATTATAGACTCTTCCGACTTCAGCAATATTTCAAATTTAGAACTTTCACTAAACAGTTCTGTTAGTGAAGTACAGCATTGGGCAAACGCAAATAAGCTTTCGATTAATGAGTCCAAGACCAAGGTTCTGCTGATTACGGGAAAAAGGCTTGCGCCCAGGACTGACGAGAAGCTGAACGTTACGCTTAATAATAAGATTCTTGATAGTGTCTATAGTGCACCCTTATTGGGTCTTGATATTGATAAGTTACTATCATTTGATGATCAGTACTTGATGATCGGTACTTGCAATAAGATCTTACTGAACAGAATTTTAAAACTTCAGAAACGGGCTGTTAGAACTGTCATGTTTGCAGATCGCCAGGCACCTTCAGTAGCTCTATTTAATGAATTAGCATGGATTCCTTTTTACGAGCAATGTAAAATTGATAAATGTGCATTTTTTTATAAACGCATACATAATAACTTACCTAACTATATCTTGGCGACTACATTATTTTGAATAATGTACGTAACTCGCGTACACACACGTTATGCTAATTTTAATGCCATTTGCCCTAAATATAAGAGGGAAACTGAGGGTGGACGCACATTTCTAGTTACTGCAACTAAACTGTGGAACACTACAGTATCCCTTTAAACATCAGAAAGGCGGATTCGTTAATCTGCTTCAAGAACAATTTGCGGAGTAACATTCTCAAAGACCAACAACTTTTACATCATTTTAGTATCTAGATCTATTAGCAAATATTATTAACTATACATCGATCTAATTTATAGTCATAGTTTTTAACCTTGTAAATAGCTTATAATATTGTATATATTTTAAACATCAGCATGTAATTAATACTAGTTATGAATGAGGGCCACAAGTTTATTAGCCTTGGCTATTTAGTGCTACCCTCTTTAAATAAAGCTTTTACTTACTTACTTACTTTGTCTAATTTAGGTTTCGTTTTGTAGTTACAATGGACCATTATAGTCCTCTGTGAGAACTAAATAGATTTAGTTTCATTTCCGTTGAATTTAGTAGCATATGTGTGCTGCCGTGGTTGCGCACATACAAAACTATACAAGCGTTTATAAAAATGTTTAATAAGACCAAACCTGGTCGATTTTGATATGAAGATATGAATAGAAACGTTCCTGCGAAATACATGACTCGCTGCAGTATTAATGATAAAATTTCTCAATGCAGACGTCAGTTGTATTTTCTGCAAAAGGAAATAGCCTGAATCTCTCCTCCTTCTAGTAGTTCCAAGGCAATCCAAGCCCACAAAGTTCTCAGTCCGTGTTTGATGGACCGACCGCTACGTCCGCCCCTGATCCTCCTTCACTCGAGCGGCATTCGAGGAATCATGCTGCAGGAATTCAGCATGCATGCATGTCATCTAGCCTTGAGAAGAAACCAGTTTTGAAATTTTTGAAATATGCATTGGGCAGCCAGTGCATGTCTATAACGTTAGAGTCGTCAATGGCCTTCTTCCTCATCATTTCCGTCTTGCTTTGATTTATGCCAAAGCAATCCTAACCCATTTTCCATCGATCTCTATATAAGGCCATCTCATGATCTTACTTATTCCTCCCTTCCCATTATCAGCGCATATCAGCTGCAGGTCTCAGTCAAACTATAACTCCACTTCTCACTGATAAAATCAGAAACTGTAAAGAATAATGGGTTCATTTCACATTTTTCTCTACCACTCTACATTTGAATTCCAGCAGAAAACAATGGATTACATGTACTTCGTAAACAAACTAAGCAAAATGCTTCTCGTTGAAGAATTTGTTGTATTGTTCATCTAAATTATTTATTTACAAAATGTTTTATTTTAACGTTTTGGTTTCCTCTAGGGAAATAATTTTCAAAGACTTGACTGTACGTTTATTATAAGTGTTCATCTTGCGTCAGCTGCATGATTGCGTGGTTGCTTTCGCGCGCTTTGACATTCTGCGTGCGCTCGTTCGTTTCCAATTCAGCTAAAGTATACGCTACTGGCATGCATTATCATGCATGTATTTGTATTGGTCAGCTGACGCAAGATGAATACTTGTAATAACCGTGAAGTCTTTGAAATGGTTTCTGCAGACGACACCTATGACGAAACCGAAACGTTGGACAAAATAAAACATTTAATTTGTAAATAAGTGATTTCAATTAGTGATGTAATGAACGACCCTCGCATTTGATTGGCTTGCGTCTCAACCAAATTAATTATGTCAAACAATTACCGTAATTAGCATTTTACCCACACGTAAAGCGGGATATCCTTTTTGCGTTCCGTGTAAAACGTTGTACCGTAGATGTTTGTTTATGTGAAATATTTCACAAAAAATGATTTAAATGAAAAATGCGGGAGTGCTTAAGTAAGTGTAGTCCTTGCTTTCTTCGTGGTACAAATGTCATTGAGTTGGTACCGCCTGCGTCAAACACTGGCACTAGCATAAAGAAAGGATCTTATTGGAGCAATGAAAAGCCAAGACTTTCTATCAAGAGAAGTTCTTTAATGCCAGATTTGTCAAAACATCAAAACCCTACAAGGAGCAGACGAACTGACCCCGTTTTGTCAAAGGATAATCATTCAGAAGAGAGTATTGAAGTAAGAACATGTCGGATGTTCAAAGAAAAACAAAATTTGCTGAGAAAATTTCAAGTGAAATCGGTAAGCAATTTTATTCTTCACATTGAGTGAAGTAAAGCCTGAGAAGTATCCGAATTCCTGTCGGGTGTTTCGTCGTTTGTTTCGAACTCAACATTTGAGCCCAATCATATACAAAACAACAAGTTGTTATTGTAGGGATATCCATAATTAAAATGGTGGTAATTATATATAAATGGTGGTAATTTTTCATGACCGATTACAATTTATTGTTTTGTTAATTCAAATCTTGAAGTACATGTACAAGAAGATTTATTTCGGAATATGTTTTGCAATATACAACTTTATTCCATATAGAAACATATAACCTTCTTACATGCATGCATGCTTTTATATATTATGCATTGCGTTCTGTTTTATGGTTAGTATGTTTGGGCATTTCCAGAGTTAAAGGATACACCAAATTAAACCGTCAAGACTGGCGAAGATTCTGGTCAAGTATTCCAGTTTTTATTTCCTTATATCTTTGTCAATTATAATTTAGGTGACGCCTCATGATTGTGCTATACAACTACCAGGTTCAACTCTGAGTTCTCAAAAGACGGTTAATGCGAATATCCGAACGTTGAAATGTGAGTTTCTTAACTTTTATTTCCACAGCAAAATACAGATTGAGAAGTAATTGAGTATAGTATATAGATTGGCATAGGTGAAGATTTTGAGATGAGCCAATGGTATTGAGCACTCTCCAACTTTTAAATTCGTGAAACATGTTATTGTATATGTATATATGTGTACCAGACTGAGTATATTTTACGTCGGAATTAATAAACGTAAATTCTAGCGGAATATGGGTCTAGTTCTGTGTCACATAAAACTTTAAATTTATTAAAATACGTTAATTCATGTTCATTTAGTACTAAGAACGAAAAAAAAAGTGACGTGTGGAACAATAGAAAATGTTGTTGCAGACAAAAAAGAGTCGTCAGAATCTATTCTGTGTGTTCCAGACAATGTTTGCCAATCCCAGGGCCCATCTAGGCAAGACAGTGAACTACAGTTGGTACTAGAGGGTCTCAAGGATAAAGATGGTGAAGAGGTGATTATAGACATGACCATGACAGTTTTTTTGGTTCTTGTATTGTCAAGTCTTTTTTAAAAAGGAAAGTACGTACTGCTATAAGTTTCACTAAATATAAGCCATTAAGCCCTTCTGGATGTGGACACCTCCAGAGAATCTAAACGAGAAAAAAGCGGCATGAGCTTCTTGGCGTTTCGAGCAAACGTCCCTCGTACGTTAGGCGACGTTCTAGTAACTGTAACTAACTGGCTGCATGACCTGTCCATGCACTGCAGTTGGTTATATTCTATCCCATATATGCATGCCCGTCGCTGGGTTAAATATTTTCACTATGTGTATTTCTTGCTTACTGTTAAACTGATAAAATGTTGAAATATGACTTTCGCTAATCCGTTTAGTCTGTATTGAAGTTGAACGACGGCCGAACTATCAAGCCGTGTACTATGGGATATCGTTGGCTGGCGGAACTTCAGACTCAGAAAAAAATATCCAAAAAGAAAAAGATGGAAAGCTACGGAGGTAATGATCACACAAACTGGATTGTTTTACCTTGTGTAGAAAATGTACGTCCTCACCGAAGGACGCATCATCTGGAAATGTGATCAGATGTACTGTGGTCGAAGCGAGAGAAAACCCAGATGAAAGTCTATCAGGCAACATTCTTCATAACTTTCTAACAAAGTTAGTGAATTTGGATTGATTTGAAAACATTTCAAAAATTTGAGCTTTCCAAAACTGTGCTAATCTATATAAAATAATTATATTTCTAGTACTAGTGGTCACATCAGCCACTCTTCGAAGTATATCGACTTCCCTCGCCAGGAGAGTTAATGGAGGAGGAAATTCTACAAAAAAATGTTTCGCAACTATAGGAATTGCACAATATATAAAAATGGCTTCTGTCAGCGTTGTAAAAATTACCAAAAAAAGTAATGCGTAAAAATTGCAATTACCTCTCGGAAAAAGCAATTATTACGAATTACTTTCGTTCAAAAGTAATTAATTACGAATTACTTAATTATTTGTCAGATTACTTTTAATGTGGCGCTAGTAAGATTAGTTGAATTGGTAGAAATATTAAAATGCACCTAAGCAGCGGAACAGACGATCAACTTCAAAAGCATAAATTTTCTTCTGATATTTCGAGAATTGGTATGGTTGGGAAATAATAAAAAGTACACAGAAGTAACACTAAATTGCTTTCTGCAAAATGTTATACTCGTTACCTTAAAGTAAAAAATAATTAGTTACGTTAGAAAAGTACTTTCATGCAGCAACTCTAATAAATTACCGAAAAATTACTCAAAGAGTAAGTCGCAATCAGTGACTTTAGTAACGAATATAACAACACTAAATTTTGTTTGTATTTTTTCATCCAGATTAATTATTTTAAAAGTTTTAATTATATGTACTATTTACAACATGAGCGCCCGTGTTGTATATCGGGTATACAAGTTAACTATGACAAACTTGAGCCGAAGGCGATAATTAATCATGATGAACAAATAGAAACAAATGAATAAACCTGGATTCAAACTTTTTAAATAAAACTAAATTAGCAAACAAAGTTGGATTACTAAATAAATACATAATTTTAGAGTTTGTTTCTGGCCTGGTAAAAGCAGCCAAGAAAGTCAGAGACGGGAAAAATTCTATTGAGAATGTGAACGACACACTCAAGTATCTTTATGATAAAAAACAAGACAGAAATTCTCAAAGAAATACTTCAATAAAGCACAAATCTAGTGAAGTGCCTGGGGTAAGGTCTGTACACGTTTTGCGTAAACGTCTGAATTGCATGTGTATAAATGTTGTATAAACTATAAAGGATATAAATGCATGCCATTGTTCAGTAGCCATGCATTGGTAGGTAGTTTGCAATAATAATGTCAATATTACATTACATATATAAAGGCTGCATGAGTGTTTTCCAGTATATGAAATGATCACAACATTGAGTGCACTGCAACCTGCATATGTCCACTGCCTCAATTGAGAACACACTTCGAAAGTGCGGGTCAACTATCACCTTGTATTTATGCATGTGTTTAGCCGGACTGCAATTATCATCATCACTCTTTTCACAGAAATACAACCGAACTGGAAAGCAAAATGAAGAAAAATCGGAAGAAAATATTTCCCTCAGGTCGTCAACACCGACAGATATCACGAATAACGATTTTGGTGAGTGAAGATTTACATTGCATGCATTATGCTGGTTGAACTTTTTGAAGAAATTAATCGGCGCATGGGACGTTTTAATATTTAAGGCGATTCATCAGTAATTGTTCCGGAAATGAGAATTTGCTGAAACTTCCCAGGGGTGAAGTTTATGATATGCTCATAGTTACGAATTACAGGAGCAATCACAATTGCTCAACCGTTAATTATTGAATTTTTTTAACAAGGATCCTACTAAAAATGTCTATATCAAGTGATTACATACAAGAAAACATGGTATTTTAGAGAATCAAAAAACCATTGACGTGCATTGTCGTAGTGCAAAGATGTCTTTTCCCAGTTCTCTGCATGACATGTTATTTTGGGAAGCATGCGCGAAAAATGTAAAATATTATAAGTTGTAGAAATTATTTTTCTCTTATTTTCCGATATGACATGTAAAACGTACAGAAGAACAAAAATATTGAAAAAGTATGGTCACGGACCTTCTTAAAGAGATACATGGCTTAAACATGCAATATGATGTGGATTCGTGTTAGTTGCACAGTGAGCCCTAGCCGAAGTTCTGTAATTTTTGAAGGTTTTCTGAAGCACACCTAATCAATGCAGAGTGTTTTTCTCATTGCCCTTACTCTTTCTTTATCACTTTACATTGCAGTTCGACTACATATGCTAGCTAGAATTTGTTATTAGATATGCGCAGTGAAAGTGCGCAATGCAAAACTGATGAATCACATAATTTGGAATATTAAAAGCGATCAATATGATTCTACTCAACATTTGCTAATAATTATATATTTTAACTGGTTGCATGTGACTAAACGTATACTTGTATGGACGTCAGTTGCTGTGCAAACATGCGTATACTCGGACCTCGATTAACAGGTAATATTGGGGATACATGAAAGCACCTTACCGCCAGACGATTTTACTTGTCAAAGGGAGAGCGCTGGCGCTCAATAAGTTAGTAATAATATATCACTCTAAAGATCTGGCTTTGCGCGGATTGAAAGTTATGGAAGTATCATGGTATTTCTATTATATTTTTTTTGTTTTCAATTTAGAACTTGCTTCATGTTGTTCAAAACCTGATAGCCTTGCAGTTGAAGGAAAAATGCTTGCTCTTGGCACAGTTCTAACATGGCCAAAAGATATATATGGTTGTCGCAAAAGTAGTACAGCCCGACCTAACACCACATCAACATATACATCAAAGCAGGCCTGGGTTAATGCACAATCCAGGACACATTTCTGTCCTAAATTAACCCAAGCTGCAAACATCTGTGTCGAAGCCAGGCCTGCAATGATGCCAACTAGCGTGAATGGGGCTGTAAAGCAGACATCAAATGTATTACCAGTAAAAAAGTTTGTGAGTATGGTCTGGTTGTCTTTAACTCATGTTTTCATGCATCTCAATCCATGATTAATCAACCTTTATGCATCAAATTATGCTCTAACGGTCATGATAACTGCAGCAAGATATTAAAAACTCCAATAACTCCAAGGAATTTATCGATCTAAAAATTGTTGCTACAACTTGGTGTAATGTCTAATGATATGCGAAACATGTAATTAAAATAATCAAACCTTTCAGCAATCCAGGTTTCGTAATAATAACAAATTCTGTGATATAAATTTTAGATAAAATATATAAATTTTATGTTTTTCATTCGAAATCCCTCGAGTAGTCCAGTATTTTTGTACAGGATTAAATAATGATTTTTATTGGCTCTTTTCGACAACAGCTTTTGTGTTTAGAAATTGCTTCGTTCTTTTGAAAACCTCCGTCCAAATAAAAGTCTTGATCAGCTGCGTACTGATTAGTCCAGTTTCCCTGGACAAAACCTGCAGTGTTTTAATGAAATACTGATCACTAGCACTGGAAGATTAGAACCCCAGTCCCAATGTTCCTGTCTCAGAATCTGAACTGTCCCTAATTGTGTAATTCAACCCTTTGGGTTGCAAGGCAATTGACTAAATAAATCTATCTATGGCTACCCATAACAGATCTAATATAATCAATATGTATATACAGGCGTTTTGATTCATGACGATGTTATTTATTTCTAGGAAGATGACACTGTGGAAGATTCAGATCTTGACGACACTGGAAAAGACACTGAATTGGATAAATTTTTTGCTTCGATTTCAAAATATTTATAAAAATAGATTTTTAAATTTTTGCATCTTATGCACAGTACACCGAAATCATGAAAATTGCCAAGAATACAAAATCTGAAATATCTTAATTTCAAGGAAAGCAAAACAAATTGTGTGTATTGTAATTGTAATATTGTAACTTACTTGTCACTGGTTCTTATCTTGAATGAAGATTGGGGTGAGAAATTCCAAGCAAAAATATACACTAAACGTCGTATTGATGCAAGCTGACAAAGATTTATCAGATGAAAGAATGCTGGAGTGAGATGTCTACATGCTACTAATATTTATTATATAAAGTATAGTGCTTTATAGAGATTTCGTGCACTGATAAAAGTGATAATCGCACATGTGAGATTATTCATGATAATCTCACATGTGAAAATTATCGCTTTTCAATTATCGCGTTTCTGTAAAAATTATCGCTTGTCGAAGACTGTCTTTATATAATAAACAGAAAAATACATGGGTGCTTGGAAATACCAGATTTATTTCGTATTGAACATGATATCTCACTCGTTCGCTGCGCTCACTCGTGAGATATCATGTTCAACACTCGAAATAAATCTGGTATTTCCGCGCACCCATGTATTATTCTCTATATATTATAGAGCCAAACATTAAATAAAGCTTGTAGATTAACACTCGGCATAATCTGTAAATATAGTTAGACTGTCCCAAATCTTTTACTTTAAATTTGTATAACTTGATGTAAAGTTCAAGTAAGTTGCAGTCATCGCATTTATGGCACTACATATATATTATGTTGATGCATGACATAATGATGTTATAATTCAAATAAAATCGTTAAATGTGCCGCACTTCACTGCCTATTTATCAGTATATTGCAGATAAGCCTAACTTTATCCTAAGCGCGTGCATGTACAACGATATAGGGAAATTTCAATTCTACATTTATAGTAAACCTCGCCTCGCTGCCTAAACTGCCATGTGTACCATATTTAGTGTATTAATAACAGCGGCGGAAACAAGAATGTGGCTTACCTACATGTATACCGACTACTCAAAATCATATCCATGCATGTCCGTCACCGTTTTTATAAGCACCTTGCAGAACGCCTCGTTGACTCCCAATCATGCACCGATTTTATAAGCACCTTGCAGAACGCCTCGTTGACTCCCAAATCATGCACCGATTTTATAAGCACCTTGCAGAACGCCTCGTTGACTCCCAAATCATGCACCGATTTTATAAGCACCTTGCAGAGCACTCCAAAATAATCCTTCAGAGCACTCCAAAATAATCCTTCAGAGCACTCCAAAATAATCCAGAAGAATATATGAATTAGGCTACAACGTCACATATACTGTCAGTATTATAATTCCATTTATGAAAATAACTATTCTATTGAGTGGATTAATCATTACAATTATTATACCAAACAAATACTGAAATAGATATTGTTTAAGAACTACAATGCATGTAAAAAAATTACACTTTACTCAGCCTTATACTAGTATACAAAAATCATAAAAATTGCCGAGAATATAAACTCTGCAATATATTTTAGGCAAAATCTTGATTACGTGCGTTGTCAAAAACGAGGGGGCTGACATCGTGGTCCTCAAGTTAAAAGTAAGAATAATGTGTTCATGTAGGAGGATTAGCATATCGTGTAGGGCTTCAAAATTTACAAACTTACAACCCCGCCCCTCCCGAATACGTATATGGAATCTTGATACAAAACGCCGAAGCGTTTGCAAAGAATTGCGTTTATTTCAGACGTTATCACCAAAATAGCTACGGATTCTCTCTAATAATTCTCGCTTAACTTCATCTGGAACCATTTCTGAAAAGATCAAATACATGTAATCGTCAATACTGTAAGCCAGTTGGAATTCTGGAGTGGAGACTGGGGAAACATCAACCCACTGCATCAACCTCGTTCCCAGGCTTTTCCCTCTTGTAATCCTGGGAACGAGGTGGGGGAAACATTTGCACGGACTGCTGAAAAAAGAGATATTAAACAAATCTATATTTTTTGTACAAAAGAAACGTCAGACAGACGAGAACATGTAATTTTGTATCCTAAATTGCGATTTCCAGAATTACTGTACCTAATAATGGTAATTAATTATTTAGTGGGATAGCGTCGGAATATTTGGTGGGGAGGGCCAAGATATTTCGGGCTGCCGAACGAGATTTGTGATCCGGAATTTAGAGTCCTATATCAAGTGTAAAAGTGTCAGGTATTTTGACGGGAAAAAGATCTGAAAGAGAAAATAACGAATTGCTGACCGTCTGGGGCCTGTTGTACGAAAGCCGGGTAGGGCTATCCACCGGATAGTGATTTTCAAACTTTCTAAATTGGTCAAATTGATGCAGTAACCCAGTTTAAACTTACATGTAGGTATATAAATTAAAATTCCTTTTTTTTTAATCGCGAGGTGCATCATAGCTTTTCAGGCATTTTTAGAAAGTTTGAAATATTGGTACATGAATTTAAACTTTTCTGTGCGTACACGCACGTATGAAAAACGCTTAACTGGAAAGCAGCCTTTAGTGTACTGTATCTCGAACTTCCCGACGAAGGGCCTTCGCTCGAAACGTCGAAGTTCTCCTTGTATATTTCAGGTAGTTGTATCCCTATCCATCTGCAGCTTTCTTTTAGTTGGTGCGTCTGCAGCTTTCTTTTAGATCTCTCAATCCGCAGTCAAGTGAATTATATAATATACTGACTTATTATATATGAGTATTGAATTTTATACGCGATAAAGTTGTCGAATAAAAACCATATGTCTAAAATTTCTGAGGATCTCATTGGACATACGACATTCGCCACTAGTGAAGAACGTCGTTTAGCCTTCTCATTGGACGTACGGAATTTGTCACTAGTGAAAAATTTCGTATTTACTTTTCCCGCCGCGCCACTGGCGTACAAGAAAACAACAATCAGTTTTTTAGATGTCCATTCGAATTTTGATTTGAACGAAGCGAATTCATTGAACAACAGGAGAATAATAATACAAGAATTTTAAAGCGAACTAATTCATTTGTTGTAGCTATTGTTGTACTTTTTGATGCATATTATATATGTTTGAAACGTTTGGTTTGAATTGTGTCTATCGTTCAGCACTTAAATTTCACTCTAATAACTCATATAATAAACAAATTACTTCATGGTTGATTCGCTTGTACGATTTTTATTATGCACTCGTTGCGAAAAATTCCTATAAACTCACTCGTTCGCTGCGCTCACTCGTTCGTTTATAGGAATTTTTCGCAACTCGTGCATAAAAATCGTACGCGCTCATCAACCATGAAGTAATCTCTATATACTGTACAGTAATAACATAATGTTTACATTATTTGATGTTTTGACCCTCAGACGGTACAAAACATTTTTGGTCAGACACACTACACGTCTATTAAATAGACTGGTGGTTCAATTCAATATGTGTTATTCAGACTTATATATTTCACTAATAATTTGATAATTGAGGAATTAGGAACAGTAAATGTATGTATGTTGGGTGGTTATAGATACTGTATTTCAAGGGGAGGGGGGCTTACCTCTTGCTTTAGGTGTTATCTCAGTGACCAGATCATCGACTGTGACTTTATCCAATCCTTTCTCTCTTATAATGTCTGCACAAAAAAATGAAAACTCTCTGAAGTCATTATCAGGAAATCAGGACTATTTTTCATGCTATGAATTCTAGTTTCATCCGAGATTGAACAGTTACCACTAGAGCATTTTCAATTTAAATATATAACAGTCAGTTGTCCAAACATTTTGGTGGGGATAGCTCATTTCTGCCGAATTTACTCAAACATGATGTAGCCAAGGGGGCAATTCTATTTTGCCTTCATCTTGTGCCTTTAAGGCTGGTAAGTACATGTCTGTATGTCAGCTGTGTTCAAAGTTCTTCAACGTTTTTCTTCAATTTTCCTGTTAAAAACGTGCAATTTCAGGCTCATTTATAGAAAACCTAATTAAAAAGCTTACAAAAAACTCCACAAAAGCCAAGGTAACTATTTAAACATATTATATGTATATTTTTGTAAGCATTACTAATGCTCCAGTTATTTTTCCTACAAATGAACCTGAAATTTCACGTTTTTAACAAATAATATACAGTTAAGAGTTTAATTGGGAAATCGAAGAAAAACATGTTGCCCAGAAGACATTTGAACACCGCCCACATACAGAAATGGATTTACAACTAGGTACAAGCCTAAAAGGCACAAGATAAAGGCAAAATAAAATTGCCCCCTGATATGGTAAGTTTTAATTCATTTTGATCCTCTATCTGCCTGACTAATTGCACACTTACAACATTACAAATGCAGGGTTTTCTGATGTAAGGGCCGATTGCTAATGCTATTAGGAAACCTAGTTTATCCTAAACAAACAGTTGATCTGTTCTAATGGATTGCCAACTACAGTACACTGCCTTGCTGAATTGCTCATTTAGGGAAGTTTGCATGTGTGTTGCTTTAATTTATTTTTTTTGCAACAAGTTCTTGTCACACCGCTACATGCACCTCCATGCACCTCCATGCACCATAGCTTTGGACCTGATTACAACCCAGACTAAAATGCCAATGATTAATGTGATATATATATATATATATATATATATATATATATATATATATATATATATATATATATATATATATATATATATATATATATAAAATTTTACCTTTGCACTCTTGGGTAAGTTTATCTCTCCAGCCACATTCTTTTAGTCTGGTTCTTAATAATTCCATTAATCTGGGAAGTTAGGAATACTTATTATTATATATTTATTCTCGTTCGTGATTGGTCAACAAGCCCTGGACAATTTTTAATATTTGGTAGCTACCAATTCTGTTGACATGACCAGCATGCCTAAATTGTTCTTTGTAAAAACTTCAGTGCAAAAACCCATTATTGCACCCTGTAGAGGCCAAGCCCCAAGCACGGTTGACAACTTGTAAAAAAGTTTGTTCGTTCACAGCAACCGGGTATATAAAGCCCAAGACTTACAATTCGACTGGGCTTTGTATTCATTTATATATAAATCAGAGTAGTGAGCGAAAACATGAACTTGTAAAAAAGTCTGCAAAATTTTAGAAGCCAAAACAAAACAGTGAAGCCTCTATTGTGGTCAGATTATTTTAACCATGTATATTAATCGCCTTGGCCCTTGTTTTCTTTTACTTGGATAAAAATTTGGCCATATCATTTTCAAAATATAGCTTAAGCTCCGGTCAAACAAGGATGAGAGTTGAAACAACTCTCACTAGCATTTGACCGCCAACTCTCATCAACTCTCATTGACTTTGAACTGGTTCAAATTTTGATGAGAGTTGATACTAGAGTTTATTCACTATCGCACGATAATACAATATCCAGTCAACTCTCATGCAACTCTTGTTCTCGTTTGACCAGGGCACTACAGTTGAGAACAACTCTCGCGCAAACTCTCGCTTCTCAACTCTCATTCTCGTTTGACGAGGGCTTTAGTTTATTTTATACTTTAGAGTGAAACATGGCAGCCACGACTTTAGTGTCCAAATAGGCGGGGAGCAGCAGTCCAAATAATTTGTGGGCATGATAATGAACTGTTTGTTTTCGGAAAAAGCTATTTAATGGGGTCCTACTAAATACTGCCAGGAGCGCCCGGGGACGCCCAGGAGTGCCTGGGGACGCCCTGAAGCGCCTGGGAGCGTGCGAGAACGGCCGGGGATATACAAGATGGTATAAATCAGTGCACGATCCTTTTTGAGTCTCTATGAGGCATTACATTAATAAAAAATAATATTAAAAGTGATTTTCAACCAGCCTAGCAACAAGCGGTACAGCGCGGTCGCCCATGCAGGAAGTTGTGCGAAACATGAGATTATATTTAAATTTATTATAAATGTAACTATTTGCTGTTATTTTAATATATCAACTGCTGAGAACAAGTCAATTGTCGTTTGGCGGCGTTCGAATTTTTTTTCCATTAAGCACCCGATTAGCACGTTTGACGCCGGTTGACAGCCGGAAATTTTGTCTCCGATTGCTCGACTGCCAGCCGGGCTGTTATAGTATACTATTCGTTCAAAAAATGCGCGCATTTCGGAGACTGGTTCTAGAATGTTTCATAAGCAGAAAACCACCAAAATTACATTAAATTTTCCGAAAATCATCGAAATGCATCTAAATTCATCTTCCCAATGCATACAGCTAGCTATGCGACAGGTAAATAAACGAGAAAAAAAAATTACGGCAAAGAGAAAAATTGAGAATTATTCGCGCTCACTCTGAGATTCGAACTCACGACCCTCGGATACACGCTGGGTGTTGTTCCCCTGCGCCACCACCGTCTTACACGGAAAATATGTTAATTTATTGTATATATAGAGGTTATTCTTAGCCAGCGCGATTTATGATTGCGTAAATACGTACACCATTGTGCACGCCAAGGGTACAGTACCAGCGGAGCCGTATCTACTCTTTAATACAATATTTACAAAACATCACGGCATAGATCACACCAGCCGGAGTCATTTAACTGTAATACAATACTACAATGCAATACAAGTGTCAGCCGAGCCTGTCGGTAGTATACTATAGTATACTACAATACATCACGGCTACCAGCCGGCAATACGGCTACCAGCCGGGCGTGTCTGTAGTATACTATACTATAGGACCTATAGTGTACTACAAAACATCACGGTTACCAGCCGGGGTTATTTAACTGTAATACAATACTACAATGCAATACGACTGTCAGCCAAGCCTGTAAGTAGTATACTGTAATATACTACAATACATCACGGCTACCAGCCGACAATACGGTTATCAGCCGGGCAGCCCGGGCCTGTCTGTAGTATACTATAGTGTACTACAATACATCACGGCTACCAGCCGGCAATACAGCTATCAGCTGGGCGTGTCTGTAGTATACTATAGTATACTACAAAACATCACGGCTACCAGCTGGGGTTATTTAACGGTAATACAATGCTACAATGCAATACGAGTGTCAGCCGAGCCTGTCGGTAGTATACTGTAGTATACTACAATACATCACGGCTACCAGCCGGCAATACGGCTATCAGCCGATCCTGCCTGTAGTATAGTATACTACAATACCGCATCGCGGCTACCAGCCGGCAATACGGCTATTATAAACGGCTTTATAAAATAACATGTATATAATGCGTGCTCTGATTGGTCGAAACCTGTGTTTCGATCAGGCCATCCAAACACGGAAATTTAAAGTGCCTTGGCGGGAATTTTAAACTTTGTTGTTAGTACTTTATAAAACAATTAATTTATGGTTTCCGTGTTTGGATGGCCTGATCCAAACACTTGGGAATGTTGCACGAGTTAATTAGGAAAAGCGCGCAAAATCACTCGCCTTCGGCTCGTGTTTCGCGCGCTTTTCTTAACTCTCACAACATTTCTGCATGTTTGGATCAGGCCATCCAAACACGGAAACCGTAAAGTAATTGTATAATCAGCCGATCCTGTCTGTAGTTACCAGCCGAGGTTATTTTTAACTGTGATACAATACTACAATGCAATATGGAGCTATCAGCCGACAGCCGGGCCTGTCTGCAGTATACTATAGCTATAGTATACTACAAAACAATGAAACATCACGGCTACCAGCCGGGGTTATTTAACGGTAATAATAATATATTAATAATATATTATATTATACTGTAATAATATATTATATTTTATTTATTTGCTATCACCCGCGTGCCTGTCTGTAGTATGGTATACTATAGTATACTACAGACAGGCCCGGCTGATAGCCGTATTGCCGGCTGATAGCCGTATTGCCGGCTGGTACCTGCGATGTATTGTAGTATACTATAGTATACTACAGACAGGCTCGGCTGATAGCCGTATTGTCGGCTGGTTGTATTGTAGTATACTACAGTATACTACTTACAGGCTTGGTTGACAGTCGTATTGCGTTGTAGTATTGTATTACAGTTAAATAACCCTGGCTGGTAGCCGTGATGTTTTGTAGTACACTATAGGTCCTATAGTATAGTATACTACAGACAAGCCCGGCTGGTAGCCGAATTGCCGGCTGGTAACCGTGATGTATTGTAGTATACTAAAGTATACTACCGACAGGCTCGGCTGACACTCGTATTGCATTGTAGTATTGTATTACAGTTAAATAACCCCGGCTGGTAGCTGTGATCTGTGCCGTGATGTTTTGTAAATATTGTATTAAAGAGTAGATACGGCTCCGCTGGTACTGTACCCTTGGCATGTACAATGGTGTACGTATTTACGCAATCATAAATCGCGCTGGCTAAGAATAACCTCTATATATACAATAAATTAACATATTTTCTGTGTAAGACGGTGGTGGCGCAGGGGAACAATACCCAGTGTGTATGTCGAGGGTCGTGAGTTTGAATCTCAGAGTGGGCGTGAATAATTTTCAATTTTTCTCTTTGCCATAATTTTTTTTCTTGTTTATTTACCTGTTGCATAGCCAGCTGTATGCATTGGGAAGATGAATTTAGATGCACTTCGATGATTTTCGGAAAATTTAATGTAATTTTGGTGGTTTTCTGCTTATGAAACATTCTAGAACCAGTCTCCGAAATGCGCGCATTTTTTGAACGAATAGTATACTATAGTACAGCCCGGCTGGCAGTCGAGCAATCGGAGACAAAATTTCCGGCTGTCAGCCGGCGTCAAACGTGCTAATCGGGTGCATTAATTACCGAGATCTATACGTAAAAGTCAAAAAAGCTCATAAACTAAGTCTAAAAAGAGAAGATGAAAGACTAAAATATATCTTAATTTAAACTATACCCTAGAGTAGATAAAAGCATTGATAGAGTAGATAAACACTATATTTTACTAATATTTAAGCTGAAAAACTGTGTTTTTGTTTACATGGAATGTTTTTATGAGTTTATATGACGCTCATTCAATTAGTAATTGTTTTTATTTGGCCTAATCTTAATGACAAAAATTTTTCGAACGCCACCAATTGTGCCAAACGACAATTGACTTGTTCTCAGCAGTTGATATATTAAAACAAAACTAGTCTTAATTTTTTATTTTAACTTTAGTTTAATTTAATAACAGCAAATATTTTTTACATTTATAATAAATATAAATATAATCTCACGTTTCGCACAACTTCCTGTATGGGCGACCACGCTTTACCGCTTGTCACTAGGTAGCCTGCGTGCAGGCTCAAGGGAACTGATAGTGGGCCTGCAACCATCACCCCATGTTTTCGATTTTCGCCGGCCGAACCGCCGGCTAAATTCCCATTGGCTAGCTGAGGCGATCGGTAATTAATTAACCTAGCGTGCAGGCCCAAGGGAACAGTGATTCATCACAAAGGCATAGACAAAGGCTCTCGATAAGCTTAAAATTTGAAAATTGATCACTTTTTTCGATTACAAATGGAACAAGAACAGACTGTTTATTGTTTACTTGAAGGAAGACATGTTTTGCCGTTATGCCAATGGGGATTGCTTGTCGTGAGGTGTTGGAATAGCAAATTACGACTGGGGTAAACTATAGTAACCTTTACTTGAGTTTCATTAATTTCAAACAGACTTCAGTTGATACGTTATGTGTTCTCACTTCCTCAAGAAAATTATTTTTTGGTCGATGTTGAGATGCAGTTGCATGTTAGGACTGTAAACCTATTCGAAACACTTTGCGATTTACAAGGCTTCGCTGAGAGAGCGAAACAGAAGGCGGTATTAAATTGCCGTTTGAAACGAAACGATCTGGACTCGGAACGCTCTCTTCTTTTGTAGAGTTCTTTACCAAATGAAATAAATTTCGTACTTTCCGCCGCCAACAAGAATTGCACACACGATCTGATAAGTGAGACAATTTATTTATAACAATGCCAATGGCAACAGCGAAGCACACATAATATAAATCCTAATGTGGTTGCACGACTTCCCTCATGATTTGAAGTTTGAGACTGATTTTCTGTTGAAATTCGTCCTAATTTGCCTGTTCTGATTTTAGTTGAAAATGAGCACTTGCAAATTTGACAATTACTGACTGCGTTGCTTGCTTTTTTGGAGTTAAAACGCAGCCATTTACACATTGTTTATTAGTGTTCTGAATAAGCAGAGAAAACCCTGCAAATTTTAATGCGAGTTTGTTTGTTAATATTTGGGTGCTGTCATTGGTTCTTTTTTGACAATTGATGCGCGAATGGGGCGTGTTATGAAAAGGGGCGTTTTACAAAATACCGGGCGATGGTTGCAGGCCCACTATCAGTTCCCTTGGGCCTGCACGCAGGCTAGTCACTACGCTGGTTGAAAATCACTTTTAATATTATTTTTCATTAATATAATGCCTCATAGAGGCCGAAAAAGGATTGTGCACTGCTTTATACTATCTTGTATATCCCTGGGCATTCTCATGCGCTCCTGAGCACTTCAGGACGTCCCCGGGCACTCCCAGGTGGTATTTAGTAGGACCGATTTACTGTGGGGAAACCAGGTATTATCGTATTAAACACACTGTTAATAGTAACTAATATTTTCTACAGGATAAAAATAGTCTGAATATGTACGTGAAAGCCTCTACCTATTACTCTAGTTGGTTCGTTTTGTCTAGTATATAGTACTTATAGCATTCATACACTCTTTTGTTCAGTATAAGCATGTTATTTGCTGCTTCAAATCAATATTAATTATATATACAGTGTGTAGTGAGTACAAAAACCATACCTTTCCCGTTCAAAATTTTCATTTAGTTTGTTGTTAATTGCATTTTTCATTTCAGAATCTCGCTGCTTCCTATCCAAACTACAATTGAAGGGAACATAAATAATATGAGATAATATAAAGAATCTAAATTACGACGGTGTTTATTTTATAGTTTCGAGAAATACTCACTCGGCAGCCATCTTGGGTGAATTGGGTAATACTTCATGTTACATAAATTCGGTGAGGTAATTTCAACGTTTATTCATATAAACATGGTCGTTCACTGTCACGTGTGTATTGTATTCTTGCCAAATCCACCAATAGCAATTTTCAATTTACCCTATTGTTCGAGTCACGGATAGGCAACTTTCCTAAGACATTGCTATTGGTTAGTTGGGCAAAAATACGATACGCACGTGACGGTGAACGACCAAATTTATGAATAAACTTTGACTAACATAGATAATGAGTTATATTGTTATTCTAATGAGTTTCCAAACCATCTATTCTAGTAACTATGTTGAAACCAGCCCAATCTCGTACCCAAAGTGTGCCCGTTCGCAGGTTAGGTGCTGGAACCAGCCTCGGAACCAGCCTCGGAACCAGCCTCGTACCCAGGCGTTTTGATGTTGCGTGACGCGCGCGCGGCGTCACGCAACCGCTTACGAGGCTGGATTGAAACCCAATTTACTTCTTTGGCTCTGGTTGCTGCAGTGATCGTAGCCTGAGTATTAGGCCGTTGGCTGTGTGGCCAAAATGTGGCTAGAAATCAAATTCCGTCGCCCCCATCGCGGTGCTAAAATATTTTAACAGGAATTAGCAGAATAAAGTACGCTGATTTTAAATATCTTTGTTCCCACGCGCCAAAACCCGCTGTTTTTTCACAATTTGAGGCTAAAGTTTGATATTTTTATCCGCTGAGCGCCATCTTGAATTCCGCGGTATCTTTGATCTTTCGGCATAATTACTTGAAGTATTCTATGAAACGCGGGCTCATAAACAACTCAAATTCATATATATGGCTAGCAAAACTGTCTTTGCTTCGGAATTTTTACACATTTTGAAGGTAAATCTGGTGAATTGTGTCACTTAACATCTCACACAAGTTAATACAACTGCACAAATCTAAAAATATTGTGAAAGGTATGGGTTAATTTGAATGAGAAGCAGACTCAAATCGCGAATATCGCGACAAATTGTTGCACAACGTATCAAACATTTAAACATTGGTCAAATACTTTACTTTAATATTGTACATTATTAAATACCTTATACCTAAATTTGCTATAAGTATACAGCTGGTACATAAGCGGTCATAGTTAACTGTTTAGAAGTTGACTTCATAAAGTTGACTTGAAGTCCTTGACTTGTCAAAAGCATTTGATACTATTAATCATAGCATCCTGATTAAGAAATTAGAATACTATGGAATTAGAGGTGTTGCTCTTAAATGGTTTGAGAACTATCTAGCCAATAGAAAACAAATTGTTAAGTATAATGACACTAAGTCTGAAGCAATGACAATAATTAGTGGTGTTCCTCAAGGCTCAATTTTGGGGCCACTATTATTTTTATTGTACATAAATGATATCCAAAATTGCAGCAAACTAGTTTCCAAAATATTGTTTGCAGATGACACAAATATTTTCCATAGCCATTCTTGCTTAAAAGAGTTAAATTTAATCATGCAAGACGAAATAAATAAAATAGCAGATTGGATTAGCAGTAATAAACTATCACTAAACACAACTAAAACAAAATTTATTTTATTTAAATCATCAAACAAAAGGATTAAACATAATACAATAATATCAATAAATGGACAACCAATAAAACAAGTTAAGAATACAACTTTCCTTGGTGTTGTTATTGATGAACACTTAACATGGAATGATCATATTGATTTAATTACGAAAAAAGTTATAAAAGCTACAGGAATAATATCCAAAATTCGACATTTCACAAATTTTAATACTCTTAAACTAGTCTATTATGCTTTAGTTTATCCTTATTTAATATACGGAAATTTGATTTGGGGAAACACATATAAAAAACGACTACAAAAATTAATAAACATTCAAAAAAAAATAATACGATTAATGATGTTCAAGTCATATTCTGAGCATTCTGAACCACTATTCAATGAAGCAAAGATTCTTAACATTGAAAAAATTAATGACTTTCTGATCAGTTTATTCATGTTTCGATATCACTACTTGGATAATTTACCAAAATACTTTACCAATTACTATGTTACTAACAACAAAATACATGAACACAATACAAGAAACGCATCCAAACTTCATAAATCATACTCCAGAACTAATTTTGTCAAACATTCACTTCAAAATAAGGGTGTAAATATCTGGAATGAGTTAAATACTGACTTAAAAAATTTAAAATCCTATTGCACATTCAAAAAAAATTCAAAAAACCACTTCTTGCTGTTGCATTCGGAAACATAGATTTTATTATATGTATGTTTGTCATTATTTGTATGTTTGTCATTATTTGAAACATTATAAAAATTCTTCAATCTCATCTTCTTTTTTCTTTTTCTATTAAACTTACTTTAAGTTCTGATCATGACCAATCAATGTAAATAATTAAATACTTTTAACCTAGGGGTCTTAATCAAAAGCCTTTGTTTGGTTTCTAGTAGACCTCTAGCCCTATTTCTGTAATTCTATATCGTATATATACATATATATATATATATATTTTTTCTGTATGTATGGGCGAAAACTTTAAAAAATAAAAATAAAAATAGTTGATATTCGACAAAAAATACTTAAATTAATAACAAAATGAACTAAAAAGTATTTACTCCAAGATATCAATACAATGAAATATAATAAATACTATTCGATTAAATAAGTTTTGCATTTCTACAATAGGATAGCACAAATTTCATCAGCGGTGTTGCATCAGCCATCAGTATTGTGCTATACAATTCTACAGGGATGGATCCAGCATGATTTGGCAGGGGGGGGGGAGTGCTCTGCCAGCTCTAGTGCCAAGTTGTGTTGGTCATGTGTGTCGCCCGCCCATCAACTTGCTTCACTACTGTATTTGAATTGTAATAATTGTTGTCCACAGTTGCTTATCATCATGTTATTACTCAAATTACTGTATCTCATTTTATCTCTAATAATATTTTGCTTTATCATGAAAAATACCACACCCACACCCCTGCACCCCTCTGGCCAGGGCTATGGGTGATGCACACACCTTCCCAGTAAATCCATCCCTGCAATTCTACAAGTTTTCTTTCTCCATATCACTTCCCAGATCCTCTTCTGAATCATCTTCAAGGCTACCGCTTTCGCTGGACTCGTGTGGAAAATTTGTGCATCCAACACACTGGCACATTTTATCACACTGGTTGTTTGCCTTTTACAAGAGTATCTTAAGGTTGAACAGCCTAGCTGTTTTACATTTACAGTTACAATCTTTGAGTAGCACATCAGGAGCACATTTCTTTGTCATCCATACCACCTCAATATTTCCTTCTTCATCAATCTTCCATCCATGATCAGTTGGTGAAGGCGCATCAATTATTGGAGTTGTTTCTCTTTTCCATATTACTGCCTGGTAATGTTCTCGCTGGATGTGTTGTAAGAGACAATCCTCACTGATTTGGAGGCAATGCTGCATTAGAATCCTTAGCCCCATATAGCGTTCATGTAAGTGACTCAAGGTTTTTCTGAATAGATTCATCAACGTCAAAGTCCTCACCGAGACGCATAAATGAGATGTTTCGTCATAAAACGAGCTCGTACAATCAACCCCAGAAACGATCTAGTTATGTACAGGCTGTTGTATTCTTACAAACTACATGTGGCTACTATACATCTACCTCACTTTTAGCTAAATCATTAACGAAATGGCATCCCAATTATTAATATAATGTAGCTAGTTATTGCTTACCGGTATATACGTGAAATTTAATTAATGCTTTGCCTTGTTTCTCACCAATCTGCTGTTAACACATCTGGCATCTATGATACGAGTTTTCTCATTCCAGTCTCAAAAAATAGTTCGCATTGGAGAATATGGCAAAAATAAAGGATAATAATACGACGTCCGTATCCGAGCTCTTTATTACAATACTTACATTCCGAACGAATGACCAACGTTTTATACGTTTGGCAACATTTGCTCCGATCGTGCTTTGTT